ACCAAAATCATTTGAGATGATATTTCAAATTTATTTTGAAATCGGTTCAAAAATAACTGATCTAGAGGCGGGACATTTATAGTTAATCACCCTGTACCTACCATGAAAAATACAGGGTGGCAATGAAATAAGTGCGAATATTTCAAACACTGGGAAAGCTCGGACGTGTACAATCGAATGGCACTAATTTAGGGATCAAAATAGAATTTGAGGTTAGATCCCTTTTTCCACCCAAAGTTCTACACTGTAGCAAATCTGACGTCACCTCTGTTCAAATTTCCATGCGGTAGGCACAATCACGCGGAGTTCAATCATTTAAATTGTTTTAAAGTGGCGTACTTGATTTTTTCTAGTATTTTGTTCAATTTTTGGGATGAAATTTCTCGTTAATTAGAAGAATTAGAAAACATCTGATATCATGGGAATATTCCTTAGACTGTATCATATTGATGTGCTGAATATTTGCACTTATTTCAAAAACACCTTGTATATCCACTGTGTTTACAGAAAACAAATCAATAATAGTTATTTATTATACAAGGGAAAAAAGTAGTAGATTTTAACTCCAGGTTGTGTTGTCTCCCGACGCGTAGCGGAGACAAAAAAACCGTGAGCTAAAATCTAATATTTTTCCCGTGTATAATACACTATTTTTTGTGTGACAGAAGAAAGGACGAATCAATATTGAGAAGATGTTACATTATTTTGAAATCTGAAAATTATTGACGTGAAATTTCAAGTTTTTAACAGTAGGGACACCTGCGTTGTAGGCATCTTCATCATTCTTTTGAAGTAATCAAATATCTGATGTCACTTCTGTCAGTCTAATTCTGTGATTTGATTTAAAAAAATTGCGAATTTAAATTTAGTGGTTGTTTAGTAATATACGTAACCACAAAGTCGATTGGAAGATAAAAGGACTTGCAGTTCTTTCTCGGAGACGGTATTATTGACTCATTTTTTGGAACTATAGCACAACAAAAGCCATCAACAGTGTATATATATATATGTGATATATATCCGGGTAAAAATTACTCACTTTTTTCCCACGGGAAAAAAGTAATTTATGAAAAGTGACATTTTATAACCTGCCAACAGAGATGAAATGCCAAACTTTTTTTCCGTCACACAAAAAAGTTTCTAAGGGTTTTATTTGACTCCAAAACATTGAGAGCTATGGAATCAGTTGAATTATTGTATATTTTAGTTGACAGACGTCTTTTGAGATGGTAGTTTATGAACACTGTCAGTGGGTATTGCCAAACTGTTGTTGATTTCTGCAATTTTGGGAAATAATCTGAATTCTTACAAAAACAGTTCTTCAAGTAAATTGAAGTTGCATATTTTCATCACATTGAACAATTGAAAATACAACTTTCTAGTCCTTTATGTTACCTCAATATCTGGCTTAGTTTCTGAGGAAACTATAAAAATTTGATTTGACTCTGAATATTGAATGGATGTAGGTCTCTCATGGCACCATGAAAGCTAATACAGGGAGAACATAAAAAACAATTAAAACTTCCAACTTCAACATACTGTATCTAATCAATTAGGAGACATCTCAGGAGACATGTTCATATAAACTTAATTTCCTAAAAAGGGACAAGGAATCACCTTCTGTATTTTTCTGCACTTATTCATTCATACCCTGTATAAAAAACATCAAATCCATGATAGCACTCTAGTGATAACTCAATTTTTCACACATTTCCTGATATCTCAAGAATCACACTCAAATGTGCAATACCAACATCATCAATGACATCAATATTTAATAATCAATGAACTTCAAGGAAGATAGTTTTCCTAATTTGACTAATCTAGTTCTTACCAAGGTGGAGACATCATTATCAATAAAAGTTAAAATCCAGAAATAGCACCCTGATATAAATATTTGGCAATATTATTAATCAAATCGATAATTCTTCAGTTTGAGTAGATTTTCTGAAGCAATAAGAAGAATAATTATTTTTTCAAAGAGTAATAATTGATTGTGGAATGGAATGCTTCTCATATGATTACCAGAAATTTACATAATGCCTATTTGACTGAAAGAAAAGACATACTTTGTCATTCACTAATTTTTATTGAACAATTTTGATGAATTGAAAAGTAAATGAAATTACTTCTGAATACTTGAGAATAATGCATTGATACATTTTTTGGTTTCAATTTCAATATCGGTGATTTTTTTTTTCAAATGGAAAAAATTGTTTCATATTTTTTCTGAAACATTTTTTTTCTGAATCAGAAGTTATACAATATATTACAGGGTGGCATTAAAATAAGTGCAAATATTTCAAACACTGAGAAAGTCACACCTGTAATATCAAATGACACTGATAAAAAATAAATTAGGGATCAAAATAAAATTTGAGGTTAGACCCCTTTTTCCACCCAAAGTTCTACACTGTAGCAAATATGATGTCACCTCTGTTCAAATTTTCATGGGGTATGCACAATGACATCAAAATAAAATTTGAGGTTAGACCCCTTTTTCCAGCAAAAGTTTCTACACATTGTAGCAAATCTGATGTCACCTCTGTTCAAATTTCCATGCAATATGCACAATGATGGGGAGTTCAATCATTCAAATTATTTCAAAATGGTGTACTAGATTTTTTTCTAGTATTTTGTTGAATTTTTGGGATGACATTTCTTGTTAATTAGAGGAATTAGAAAAAAATCTGATATCATGGAAATATTCCTTAGACTGTATCATATTAATGTGCTGAATATGTGCACTGATTTCAAAAACTCTTTGTATTCATGACAATGCAGAAATAAATGAGGAAAATGAAATAAATGTTTCCTCATAATTCCCTTCATCAGGAAAGTATGAGGTAAATAAAACTCTGAACTGTGTGAGAATAATTGATGAATGTACCAGCCCAATGGTAGTTCACCATACACCTGTAATCTTTATGCATTTCTTGCTTACAAAATCAACAAGAATATGGATAGGCATATTTCAACAAAACAATCAGTATCTGAAGATGAAATTTTGAATCAAGATCATACAACAACTAATAATAAACTCAGGCTGAAGTATTATCATCAGTCAGTCACCTTAAATAGATCATAATATTCAATACAATATTTTTATGGAGAGGAATGGAAGGTATAAATGGAAAATTGGAATATTGACATATTGTGCAATATTTAGAAATATCTGATGTTAGTTGTAAAAAGGTTTCAAAGGAATCAGGAACACAAGAACAAAAAGAATATTTAAATGATATACAAACCAGACCAGGTGGACCATGTAAAGTTATTTCAGGAACACCCACATCCTGTATAGTCAATGCAGTCCCTGGTAAGCCTCCCATATTCCTCCATGCAGACTGAGTTATGAATATGTGTTCCAATTTGGCCAATTTCATCTTATGTTCATGGGCAAGTCTTTGGGTTCCCTCCCCACAATTAAATAAATATCTAAAACAAAACATACACACTGTCAATGCCCCAATAATTAATTATTTCCACTAAAATATTGTTTGTAAAACATTAATAAAAACTTCATTATAAT